TTGTCACAACATGGATGGACTTGGAGGACATTATGCTAAGTGAAACAAGGCAGAGAAAGATAAATACTGTATGATATCACTCATACGTGTAATCTAAAAAATATGACAAACTAGTTACTAAAACAAAAAAGCAGACTCACAGACAGAACAAACTAGTGATTCCCAGTGGGGAGAGGGAAGGAGAGAGTGGAAACACAAGGGCAGGGGGAAAAAAGCTTACTAAGGGATTATATGAATATAGAATGATGTTTGTGAAACTTCTGAAAATTGTACAGCAGTACAGAATTTAAAGACTCTTTCATTTGATTAAAAAGAGAGATTGAAAGCCTTGGTGATGAGAGGAAAATGAAAAAGACCAAAAGGTTTTAGCAAGTGACAGTGAAATTAAAAATTTTTAAAAAGAAAATATATATTTACAAGGAAGAGAATCTAAGTTTTCTTGTGCATTTTACGTATGTTTGACACTGTGCAACATATGTATATATGTCTGTTCTTTTTTCTAAACTTAACTAAGGACTTATTATAGGTTATGCACTGCGTCATTTATGGGCCATATTTTATTTTCCTGACAGTCCTATGAGCTGGTACCGTTCTCACTTCACCGATAACAGACTCTGGTTTAGGAAGATGAGGGCCCTTGCCCAAACTCACATAGTAAATACATACACCATCTGCCAAGATTCCAGCCTCTGTTCTTTACTACCAGAGTATTTTGACAATGTAGGTTTTGATGTGCTGTCTCTCCGAATCTTTATATTAACCTACACTTCACGTGCAGATATTGTCAGAGAATATATATAAGGAAGCAGAAGCAAGTCATATCATTGGCGAGTGCTGAAATTCTGACCTCAAAGGTTCTTCTCTTTCCATGTTGCTTCTCTGGGAAATAAAATATTAATAACATTTTATTTAAAATACTAGCTTCTGGAATATTTCTCAGTTATAAACAATGAAATAATGCGATTTGCAGTGACATGGATGGACCAAGAGATTATCATACAAGGTGAAATAAGCCAGAAAAAGGTAGATATCATATATTACTTATATGTGGAATCTAAAAAATATGATATAAATGAATGTATGTACAAAACAGAAATAGACTCACAGACACAGAAAACAAACTTATGGTTACCAAAAGGAAAAGGTGTGTGTGGGGGGGGGGGGATAGATAATTTGGGAATTTGGGATCAACATATGTACATGACTATATACAAAATAGATAACCCACAAGGACCTACTGTATGGCACAGGGAATTATACTCAATATTTTATAATGTATAGGGGAAAAGAATCTGAAAAAAGAACATAAAAGTGAATCACTTCACTGTGTATCAGAAACTAACCTAACATTGGAAATCAACTATATGCCAATAAAAATAAATCAAAATAATATACTAGCTTCTGATATTTCTGATAGTAGGTCTTTGACCATATTTCAAGGGCTTCTATTTATGTATCATATGTGCCTTCTCCTCTTCAAATTCTTTGTCTTACCAACGTTTCCAGATGGTTCTTTTTGCCCATCTAAATATAAATCACAGCCGCCTCTGCTTCTTTCTTTTCTAAAAAACTCTCCTAGCTCCAGTGATTTACTGCTACCCCGTCACATGCCCAGCTGTACCCTCCAGAACATGCGTGTTCATCTTCAGCTCCTGAGGATTGTAACCACAGTTCAGGACCTTCAGAGCCCAGATGCCTGGGACAATGCAGGCACAGAAAGCGACCGTGTGAGGCGAAACATACAAACACACGTCCATGGGTGCTGCTGATTCCACCTGAAACATACTTTAAAAAATATTTTCCCCTGTCTTATTTCAATTTTGGTAAGGATGACGTTCCTTAAAAAGAAATAGGGCTTTCACCAAAAATACTTACCGTTTTAACAAGAAGGAAAAGAGAATAAAATATTTCCTATAGGTTGGAATGGCCAAGTTATTCTTATTTACCTCAGATATGTGTTTGTATTAAACAATTTATAGGATTTTTTTAAACTTTTGAAACTATCTTCTTATACAATATTTTGAAAATAATAGCAAACAGTAAATTGCAATTACCAATACTATAAAATGTAGTAGAAACAAGATTTTAAATCAGGATTTTAGATTCACTTGCTTATAAACACTAAATATTTTGTCTTCTTATGTAAAATAATTAGGAATTTTTGAGAAATCAAATATGACTATAAATTTAAAGCATAGGATCAAATTTTGACCAAGTAACAGCTTTAGCATATAGCTTTTAATAAAAGTTGATAATGAGTTTCGTGTTCATTGAATGTATTATGGAGGGGTGGGGCTATAAGTGGAGGAGAGGGATAATTTCATACAATTTAATCAAAAATTCACTTTTGCATGAAATCAAAAGTTCTTCCAAACTGTGTAACTGTTGAGTTGTAGTTAGTCCTCTCTGACAGCACATTCATTAAAAAAAAAAAAAAACAGAAGAAGAACTACTCTCTCCAAAAATCTATCCAATGAGGAATTGTGTTAATGGGGTAGATTTTTTTTTCCCCCTTCTTTCCATCTGAATATTTAACATAAAAGTCCTGCTCTATTTTTCAGCTGGAATCACAGCAGTTTCTGTTTCTAACCTGGGAAGAATGTGGTTGGGCCTGAAAAGCCCCCTGTCCTATTGTTAGATTCCCCTGCACTGATCCTTGCTTTTAACATCATAATGAAGGATGCTCTTTAGTGGATTATCTTGAGAAGGGATTAACTCCTTCAAGTCTTCTAGGGGGCAAGGTGTTTTGAGCCCTAAATACACACCAATTGCCTGCTTAACTTTTCATCTTATTTTGAAAACCGCCCAGCTGGAATTCAAATTCTTTTCCATAGAGCTGAATTTTATTAGTAGCAAAGTTGGAGTTAGGGGCAGCAGATGCTAAATATAAGCACTGTTCTTTTAATCTCGTGGGGCCAAATGCTTCAGATATTTCACTGAGACAGGCACGTCAGGATAAGACTCAATCTAAACTTTGCCATAAAGTCTGCAAGTGCCTAAATCCTCACCCCATCTCCCAGACCCATGCCTTAAGCCTTCCAGAAGATCCTACTTTTCCTAGGACCCTACCTTTAACCTCCATTGTCTATGTGGCCCTCGTACCATAGCTTTTAACTTTATCATCCACATTTTTTTTTTGAAGTCATTCTCAAAGTAGAATTCAAATGCCTAGTAAACACACATACACACACTTGAAAAGAGGGCTAATTGCTCTATAATTTATAATCAAGTGGTTTCTTTAGCCTTTGCTTCTTTATCTTAATAACCACTTATTTCTATCTGCCTATTACATTAATACTGAAATCTTGCATTTGTTTCATATTCATTTTACCCCTTATCTAACCTCATTTCTGTTATTAACTATCCTATTGTATTATCACAGGATTTGCTAGATAGCTCTAAACTTGTTCTTTCTCCTACTTTCTGTTACTTCAAACTTTTTTTTTCTGTAATAGCTTAAAAAAAAATAACTTTTCTTTTGTTCAACCCAAAGAATATTTTTTAACACTGAACACATATATTAAAGGTGTTTGTTAGATGTAGAAATTTGCTTTTAGACACATCCGCAATAAAACTTTTTTCTTGGAACTTCGTCTTTCAGGCTGATTTACTTTTTTAATCAAATAGCAATTCACATCACCTGCAGCTTAAAACAAAATAAGGTATCAATGAATTAGAAAATGCTTTATCGATTGTGTAAAAAAGTTTTAAACATAAATATCACCAGAACGACCATAAAAAGATCTTGAGAAAATGAAGTTTCATAATTCGTTCGAACACCAGGTGCATTTTCTTGTGAACCCAATGAAATGAACTCTTATTCTTTGTTTTAGATATATAATAACTGTATTCTAGAGGCTATGCTTTAATTGTAAATAATCCTCCACATTCTTTCAGTGTAAACTCTTTAAAGAGTCATGAATTTTATTTATACTCTCTCTCTCTTTGAGAGTCTTTTGTTTATTTGCTGTTTCGTTCTTTGTGAAATAACACTCCCAGAGGAAAATCCCCCTCTCTGCTTAAGGAATTAGGCCAGAGACAAAAGCAGGGAATTCTTTAAGCCTTGTTTTGTGCTAAGAGAAATGTTTGACATTTCTGTGGAGAGGTGTTTAGTTTGGATTCATTAGGTCTTAGGAACTCTTTTCTCTTTTCTGGCCTTTCAGATTCTGTCACTGTTTTTTTTCTGTGTTTGGTAGACTGAAGAGAATTTACCAGGGTGTAATTAGGTTTCCTACATTCAAATAGCAAAAATCCAGTTTTAAATAGTTAGACCAAGTATTCCTCTCATTCAGCAGGCCCAAACCTGAATCCCACTTTCTGATACCCATCTGGGTAGAAGAAGAGGCAGCAGCGGAAGCAAGGAAGAAAAAGGCTTTCACAGAATTTTATGCCCTGGTTGAAATAAATCCCTCTCCTAAGCATCTCTAAGCAAAGTTGCTTGACTGTCACTCCCATAGTTCTATCCAGGAAAGCCAAGACATTTGGTTTTCCAATGCTTCATCAAGGAACACTAAATAAATTCAGCTTTAACATCATTTTTTTGATGTTAAAGTTTTCGATAACTTTAACATCATAGGGCTTCCGTGATAGCTCAGCTGGCAAAGAATCTGCCTGAAATGCAGGAGACCCTGGTTCGATTCCTGGGTTGGGAAGATCCCCTGGAGAAGAGATAGGCCACCCACTCCAGTATTCTTGGATTTCTCTGGTGGCTCGACTGGTAAAGAATCTGCCTGCAATGTGGGAGACCTGTGTTCGTATACGTGGGTTGGGAAAATCCCCTAGAGAAGGGAACGGCTACCCAATCCAGTATTCTGGCCTGGAGAACTGCATGAACTGTACAGTCCATGGGGTCACAGAGAGTCAGACACGACTGAGCGACTTTCACTTAACATCACTTTTAATACAAAAGGAAATATATTTACTTACTTTTTATTTTATAGCACCTTGAGTGGTCCCCATGCCTTCTCAAGATCATTTGAAAGATGTGTAATGTCTAGCCTTGGAAATGACACATTCTTAACAGGGCATCACAGCTATATATTTTACCTTTACAAACAACAGAGATACTTTGCTAGATTATCAGTTTCATTAGCAGAATTAGTAGAAGCTCAAATACTTGGCCGTTCCCCAGATCCTCAAGCCAGAACTAGAGCTTGAACATAGGTATCCTTTTCCTCTTGCATGTGACTTGACCGACCAAACTCAGGATGATTTGCTTTTGAATTTTTGCTGCAGGAACGGAAGCAGAAAAAGGTGTCACTTGACATGCCACTCAAGAACAGTTCAGAGATTAGAGAACAGAAGCCACACAGACAGTGTAGGCTTCTTTCCAGCTAAGTCCCAACTGATGTTCCAAAGCCTGCCAGTCTCAGCCCAAAGGCCACAGACTTGCAGTTCAAGAAACATGCCCTCTGGACACTGCTGGGCCATATGTTCCCCCCACACACCACACCTAGAGAGTGATGAAGTTAACAGGGCAGCTGAGGAGCCATGGGCAAGCCCCCACCAGTGACAGTCTTACTGGAACACAAGCTTTCTTTGGCTGGCTGACAATAACCCTGTGGCAGATCTGGCAGGGAGAGCATTAACCAAAAACAAAAGACAGAAGAAACACTGAAGGAAGGCCTAGTGCCCATGATTAAATAGGGAAAGACCAGATAATAACATCTTTAGCAATTGCATCGTTGTCAAGTACACCTCCCCAACCCTCCCACAGCCCCCGCCAAAGTACCGATCTGTCTTCATCAAAATTGTAGAGAACCTGTGAGTCATGTCAACCCAGCCCCATCAACAAAGATGTGTGTAAAGTACTAACTCCTTCAGCCTACTGACTCCAGGAGAGCTTTCACGGTGTACCCGCGTGGATTTTCTTCTGTCATTGAATGTTAAACTTTGCCATGTGTGTTAAAATTAATTCTAATCTCAGTATTATCTAATAGAGTGAAAAGAGACTGTTTTACCCCCTTCTTTTTGAAACTCTAAACTGTACATTGTAGTTCAATTTCTGCGAGGACCTAAAAGTTCATAGCAAAAACCTCTGGGTTTTTGTAGTTCTGTGTAACTGAGAAGCCTTTGAAAAGAAATGTAAAGTTAACAAAAGTAATGGTTGTAATCACTGATTCTTTAAGAATATGAAAGATAAAACTATCAGACTTTATTCACTGAAGAATAAATAGGAAGGGATGAAGGGATAACACGATGAGCACTTATATCAATAAATAGAAGTAATTATTTAGACCATTAGAAGAAAGATTTAATAATCTAAGTGGGAACCATGGGTTGAAATGTAAAAGTGTCCTGTCCTAAAATAAAGAACATAATGGTCTCTAGGGAGAAAATTGGATCAAAAGAAAAAAAAGAGATGTCAAAAACTAGAGCTCATTTAAGTATATGTACTATAGTCCCCCAAATGTCTTCCTTTGAATCAGATGTTTTAAAAAAAAAAAACTTAGGGATCAGACAGGAGATTTTCAAAAATGGAAAATGTCCCCAGATCATGATAGAAGCATGGCATGCTACTGATCATTTTCCTTGGGGAATACCTGTCATTCTTGACCATGAGTCCGTTCTTTAGAGAAGCATTGCCATCTTCATCCTCTGCACTGATTCTAGAGCAATAGGAGGAGCAGGAAAGAGAACTAGTTAAGGAATTTCAATTTCTTCTATCTGAAAGAAGGATAAACTTGTGAGATGGATAAACTTATTTCATCATATAGAATAAGTTTGAGTTGACCAGATATATTTTAATAGTTGTATTTATCATTTTCTCTCTTGTTAAAAAACTCAAAGACAGAGAGAAGGGAAGCTCTTCTTGAATATGGAAAGAAACAAAGTTTGCCTGAAAGATGCCTTGGCATATTAATTATTCAATGGCAAGTAGATTGGGCAGAATGCCACTAAACAAAAGGCCAATGATAAGGACATAATGACAGAATTTGCTCTGCAAGTAGGCATCTATTCATACCATATAAAATCAATTACTATAATTCCCACAGGATTTTCTCCCCGCTAAATCTACCAAATACAATGTGTTCTAACATGCAAAGAAAGCTAGAGAGAACAGTCACCATCTTAACCCTGAAGCTCTTGAACCTCAGCACCTCAGTGTGAAAATTTAGTGTCTTCATTATTTGCAATTAATTAGAATGAAATGTGCCTCTACATTTTAAATTTTGTGTAAAGATACTTCTTATATTCCAAGCAAAAAGAGCTACTTCCCTTGAATAACATTCCTGTGATTTGTTCATTACTGTGAAGATAACAACTTTAAATAAACATGATCTTTAAACTTCTTAATAAAGACAAATTGCCTTCTTTAGCCATTATAAAAAATGGCAGATTTTGTAATCAGATGTGCGTTCAGAGTTTTGAGACTGTGCAAATTAGCATTTCTTTTCGACAGTAGCTTTGCTTTTCTTACGATGATCAAACCATGTTCCATCCTCCCTGGCCTACTGGCAGATAAGATAGAATGACTTGAGGCATGAAAGATGTGATTATGTCCCATATAGTCAGTTAGCTCCTAACTCTTCTTCTCTCTGTGTGAGGTCTGGATCAAAAGAAAAAAAAGAGATGTCAAAAACTAGAGCTCATTTAAGTATATGTACTATAGTCCCCCAAATGTCTTCCTTTGAATCAGATGTTTTAAAAAAAAAAAACTTAGGGATCAGACAGGAGATTTTCAAAAATGGAAAATGTCCCCAGATCATGATAGAAGCATGGCATGCTACTGATCATTTTCCTTGGGGAATACCTGTCATTCTTGACCATGAGTCCATTCTTTAGAGAAGCATTGCCATCTTCATCCTCTGCACTGATTCTAGAGCAATAGGAGGAGCAGGAAAGAGAACTAGTTAAGGAATTTCAATTTCTTCTATCTGAAAGAAGGATAAACTTGTGAGATGGATAAACTTATTTCATCATATAGAATAAGTTTGAGTTGACCAGATATATTTTAATAGTTGTATTTATCATTTTCTCTCTTGTTAAAAAACTCAAAGACAGAGAGAAGGGAAGCTCTTCTTGAATATGGAAAGAAACAAAGTTTGCCTGAAAGATGCCTTGGCATATTAATTATTCAATGGCAAGTAGATTGGGCAGAATGCCACTAAACAAAAGGCCAATGATAAGGACATAATGACAGAATTTGCTCTGCAAGTAGGCATCTATTCATACCATATAAAATCAATTACTATAATTCCCACAGGATTTTCTCCCCGCTAAATCTACCAAATACAATGTGTTCTAACATGCAAAGAAAGCTAGAGAGAACAGTCACCATCTTAACCCTGAAGCTCTTGAACCTCAGCACCTCAGTGTGAAAATTTAGTGTCTTCATTATTTGCAATTAATTAGAATGAAATGTGCCTCTATATTTTAAATTTTGTGTAAAGATACTTCTTATATTCCAAGCAAAAAGAGCTACTTCCCTTGAATAACATTCCTGTGATTTGTTCATTACTGTGAAGATAACAACTTTAAATAAACATGATCTTTAAACTTCTTAATAAAGACAAATTGCCTTCTTTAGCCATTATAAAAAATGGCAGATTTTGTAATCAGATGTGCGTTCAGAGTTTTGAGACTGTGCAAATTAGCATTTCTTTTCGACAGTAGCTTTGCTTTTCTTACGATGATCAAACCATGTTCCATCCTCCCTGGCCTACTGGCAGATAAGATAGAATGACTTGAGGCATGAAAGATGTGATTATGTCCCATATAGTCAGTTAGCTCCTAACTCTTCTTCTCTCTGTGTGAGGTCTAAGATGCACAGGTCCATATCGCAAGAAAACATGATTGATTTCCAAAGGGAATGATGGAAGCCAAGCGACACCTATTTGGAAATGGTGTTTTGTTGAACTGTTTCTAGAAATAAGCAAACAATCTCAGAAAATTAATCTAAGTAATATTGGTTCTCTACAGAATGGATTTCGTTTAGACTCAGATATTTTATGTCATACCATTTAACAGGGTAGTATGAAAGTTCATGCTACCTTTCCAACAACTGCAAACACGGCTCCGCTTTCTCACATTGTAAGCATAGCACTCTTCAAAATTTGAAGAGGTTTCTATAGAAATTTTTTCTTCAACATATGGATTAATATAAAAACCAAATCACTTGCTTACAGGTTCTAATAGTAAGTTTTGGTACAGCATTAAGCAAATTCCCAATATAACAAGACGATTTTAAATGTGATTAGATATTGTTTTAAATGTGGTTATCTCACCTCCTTTTTTTATCGTTACAAAATAAAGACTTCTTCCCCTTAGGTTGCCTGTCACTTTTGAAGCAGGAAACATGATGAATTTCAGCACATTTGCCTTGCTATGCTTTATCAAGCTCATTAGAAATGATGCATGATCTGAACTTTACAGAGGAAAAAAATACATGGACACTTTCTTTTTTATCTTCTCTGTTTACCTCTGAAATCATGCTGTTCTACTTGTTGCACCGACTAACTGCCTATTAGGAAAAAATAGTCTTGCCTGTAAAACTCATGACTTTCCTTTACAACACCATAAACTTGAGGTGTTCATTCTCAAAGAGTGAGATCTCTAAATTTCTAGCTCAGAATGCTTCATTTTATTTTTCCATTGTCATGCTATGCTGACAAACAACTTCATATATGTGTATAGATTTGATGGTAAAGGTTATTTCCTTAATCCAATTTCCCAGTGTGATACACTTATAATAAAAACCTTCAATGAGAAAGCTTCGGCTTAATGAAATCAACTTTCATCCATAAATTCAAACAAATCTTCTTCTCACTTAGAATTATATGGCATGCTAAAAATTCACTTTTAAAGAAAAATTTAAGACTAAGTTTTAAAATGATTGATGCCAAATAAGTTTTAAATAAGTCTTGAAAATCCAAAAATTATTACAGAGATAAAATGTCATATCTTCTTATTTCTCTCTACTGCATTTGAAAATTTGATTTGTACTAAAACCCAGACAGACTCACCATGATGAAGGTCATCAGATAAAAATAATGTTTCTCCAAGTTTAATTCAGTACTTATCAGCTAGAACAATTTCTCTCTAATCCTTCAGATGTTAACTGCTATTGAGATGTAAAATGCAAATGAATATTATTTTTAAATGTTACATACAGAGTTGGTAAAAGCACTTAGGCTTAAAAAGAAGAAAGGTGGCTTATTTTATAGCAAATAAACATTATCTGAATTTCATTTTCATTAATATGTCTTTTATTTCTGGCACTTGTGTTGATGAGTTTCCTTGGTAATAGGATGAACAGTGAGGCACTTATATTAACCGTGATAACCAAATTCCAAAATCTTGGAGAAATGCTCTGTTATTGTTTAACATGTTTCCTGGGAGACTCTTCTAGGTGGTCCAGGGGTCAATCTCTACTTGCAAGCATATTTTCAAAATGAATATCTATACTTTTACGTCTGTAGTTAACCAGCTCACACACAGAAAGTTATTGTTTTATGTGTAATAGTTGCTTCACAGTTTCAAGCTGGCTCTCACCAACATCATTTCATTTTCTTCCTTCATTCCTCTTGGAAATGCTCTGTGTCAGGTGCTTTTCTGAGTTCTGGAGTACTATACCCCTGCAATGATGGAGATGACAGTCTGGTGAAAAGATCAGTCTTAATCTATCATCATCCAATTAGATAAAGAATTAAGATACTTACAACTGAGGAGGCCTGAGGAGGATTCATGAGGTTCTTCAAGCACATGTCAGGGGTCCCTGCTCTAGTATGGAATGTCAGGGGTCCCCAGCCTAATGCAAGGTTAGGGGGTCCCACACCTAGAGCAGGATGTCAGGGGGCCTGGACCTAGCCTGGAGATAACATGGATCTAGCATGGGATTTAAAGCTTCTTTCCTTAGAAAGGAATGTTAAAGTGAATTCAAGATTCTAAAAGAAAGCCAGTGGGGCTGAAAAGAAGAAGGGATAAGGCTGACAAGGGTAACAAGGCCAGATCATGCAAAGCCTTGAGGTCATCACAAGGATATGATTTTTGCTCTAAAACCAGTGGAAAGCCATAAAGAAACAGAGGAAGCTTCAGTGCAAGGAGAATGACACAACTTGGCTTGTATTTTTTATAGATGATTGACATAGATATCCTACAAGGTAGACGAGGTGTGACAGACCCCACTGAACAAATGTAGAGATGACCTTAATATGGAGTTTCTTCTTAAAGGAGGGAAGTTCAGTGAGTGGTTGGTGTGTGCACTCGCCTGCACATGCAGTGTGTACTTGTGTGTCTATATATCTGTTCTTATTTCCATCAGAGAGTTCATCCACTACTGCACACATTCAAAATCAAGGCTATGCTTCTCATTATTTTTTGGTGGTATTTAATTTTAATGTCAAGTGGGAAGATATAAATGAGGTAGTTTGCCAACCATAAAAGTCTAAGAGAAAAGTTATCTTTAATTATGAATTTTTCTTTAATGTGTGCCTATTGGTTAACTAAGGAATTTACTGGATACATTATTTTTTACACAATTTTAGAAGCAGTTTGGCTGAAAGACTAGAGTGACATTTGAGTAGTAGCAACACTATTCATTCAAAAAAGCAGATTAAATAGAATATTATAAGCATATCATGGAATAATTCCTTTATCACATATTACATAATAATTATAAGTAGGTTTTCCAACATTAAAGGAGTATAAACATCAGATCTGAGCAAAATATGGTGTATTATATTCTACTTAGTTCTGACAAGTGGGCAAACACCACTTGAAGGTAGAAAGCCCGTTGTGGCTTATAGTAAAGTAGAATGTTTCTCCCTGCTGCTTCTTTTATTAGCTCTTTCTGTCCTCAGGCCACATGCTAGAGAAGAGTCTAGCTCTGGGTGATCTTTCCCCAGGACCTGATACATAGAGTCTATTCACTTTAAGGAATCAGAAGGAAATATTTGGATCTAGCACTTCTCCTTTCAAGGAAGGAAGAGTGGAGATGTCACAGAGGCATCTCATTTTTTCAAGGTTGAATTATTGCAAAGAGCAGCCAAGTAGCACAACCTCTGCAATCGTTGCGGTTGTTGTTGTTTGACCACTTATTCATGTTCAACTCTTGTGACCTCATGGAGAGCAGCCCCCCAGCTCCTCTGTCCATGGGATTTCCCAGGCAAGAATACTCGAGTGGGTTGCCATTTCCCTCTCCAGGTCATCTTGTCAACCCACAGGGATCGAACCACGTCTCCTACTTGGTAGGTAGATTCTTTACCACTGAGCTTTGGTTGTAGAACAACCAGTAACTTCCGTTTTGTGTTATCAACTTGATCAAAAGCGCTTGCAAATTAATTGTCTAATGATTCTGATGTAGGCAGAAGTTGGAACTTACAGTCACACCTACAGACTCATGGTGTCTTAGTCAGTTTGAGCTGTTACAAGACACGATAGTCTGAATGGGGACTTCCGTGGGGGCTCAGTGGTAAAGAATCTGTCCGCAATGTAGAAGATGCACTTTCGATGCAAACATGGGTCGCAAAGAGTTAGGCACAACCTAGAGACTAAACAACAACCACAACAACAGTAGACTGAGAGGCTTAAACAAGCAATGCTTATTTCTCACAATTTTAGATGCTTGGGACTCCAAGATCAAGGATCCAGCATGGTCAGGATCTGTTGAGGAATTTTCTGCTGGCTTGCAGAAGGCTCCCTTCATGTAGTTTTCTCAAATGGCAGAGAGAGAGAGATCTGTTTTTAGAAAGGCATTAATCTCATCATGAAGGCCCCACCTTCATGACCTAATCTAATTCTGATTATCTCCTAAATGCCTTACCTCCAAATATCACTAAGATTACAGTTTCAACATACGAATTTGAGGGGAACACACTCAGTCCGTGATAGACTTGATTTGCTTATGCTATGAATGAATATTAGGTCACTTCAGTCAAGTCCCCCATTTGCAATCCTATGGATCATAGCTCTCTAGGCTCCTCTGTCCGTGGGATTTTCCAGGCGAGAATACTGGAGTGGGTTGACATTTCCTTCTCCAGGGACCTTCCTGACCCTGGGAATGAACCATCTCCTGCATTGGTGGGCAGGTTCTTTACCACTAGCACCACCTGGGAACCAAGACTGAATTACCCCCAGAAATTATAGTAAGATACACCTCACAGCACGGAGTGAAAGAGAAAAACCTACCATCAGCTCTGAGTACTCTTGTCATTTTGGGTCTTCAGGTGGGATTGTTTAGGAGGAAGCTGTATAAAAAAAATATAGAGGTCAAGGGATTTGGAAGCCAGCAAAGAGTATAGAAGAGGAACCAAGAGCCAAAGGATTATGAGACTGACGCACTGCCTACTGCGCTAAGAGGGCAGATCCAAGAGCCAAAGGAAAGATCCTGGGGAATATTAACTCCAGTTACATTGATTGAGCCCCTCTGCTTTGCATAATTTAGCATCAAACTACAGATCACCTCCTGTTTCTAATTCCTCTTATAGACAACTCAGGAAAGGGTAATTTAATGCTCTTATATCCAATCATTCACCCAAAATAGAAGCTAGGAATTGAGAGAACCATCTAAATTCTACCACCAAAACCCAAGCAACAAAGCAGCGATGATCTGAATATTCCATCACAAAAAAATCAATTATTCTGTTTTGTTCTGTTTTGTTGGCTAAACTGCTTGAATCATTGTCCATTTCTTAAAGAAGGTGAGAAGAGTGATTCTTCATGGGCTAGGGTGGGGTGAAGAATAAGCAGGTGACAAGAGAACTTCTCTTGGATGTTCTGAAATTCAGATTCCCAGATGCAAGGAGCTAGTTGAGTGAAAATTGTGTTTTCTGAGACAAGGTGACTCATCACACATCCGAAAGAAGTCTGCATCCCCAAAAGACTAGTGCATCTTCTTGCCACCACCTCATTGAACAAAGCAGCCTTCTATTGACTGATACTAAAACCAACCTTCAGTTGGGCTTCCAGATGTAAAAAGACTGTATTTACAAGGCCAATTTCAAGTTCTGGTTATATTTGTTCTTGTCATCATTGTCTTTGTTTGAATCTAAACAGTCATCTTAATTTGTACTATAGACAGTGTCTCCACATGCAAAAAATGCATCTGTTGAAGTCCTAAACCCACATGTATGGCTTTGGAAAATGGAACATTTGAGAATTAATTGGTTTAGATGAAGTCATGAGTGTAAGACCCCCTGATGAGATAAATACCCTTATAAGACAGTCCAGAGAACTTGCCTTTTCTCTTCTCCTTGTGAGAACACAATGAGAAGGCAACTGTGTGCAAATCAGGTGAATCCTTACTGAGGAACCAAATTGTCTGACACCTCAGACTTTTAGAATTCCCAGCCTCCAGAACTGTGACAAATGAAGTTCTGTTGTTCAAACCCCCCAGTCTATGGTATTTTGTTATGGCAGTTCAAGCAGGCTAATACAAAGTGTCCCCCAAGGGGACATAAAAAACCTTTGCAAAACTATGGAAGCTTACTTTAAGGTAAAATGAGAGAAGTCCTTGAGATTGAACTAACATGGAACTTTTAAAATATTTGATCATTTGGAAGGATTTAGAGGGCTTTACAGGCTTCCCTGGCAGCTCAGCTGGTAAAGAATCTGCCTGCAATCCAACCCTGGTTGGATTCCTGGGTAGGGAAGTTCCCCTGGAGAAGGGAAAGGCTACCCACTCCAGTATTCTTGGGCTTCCCTGGTATGTCAGAAGGTAAAGAATCTGCCTACAATGCAGGAGACATGGGTTCGGTCCCTGGGTTGGGAAGATCCCCTGGAGGAGGGCATGGCAACCTACTCTAGTATTCTTGCCTGGAGAATCCCCATGGACAGAGGAGCCTGGTGGGTTACAGTGTGACTGAGTGACTAAGCGCAGCACAGAGGGATGTACAGTGATGCAATGAAAGAATGTATTCCATTTAACATAGTCAATTTCATTTTGTAGGAATTTTGGGTTACTTGGTAATGCAACCCACTTCTTCACAAATACTATTCCACAACATACTTGAAGAAATTTTGCATTGATACAAATACATAGATTTCTTTGATTAAACCAAATGGGATGAGAGAGTTAAATGTTGTGCCAAGAACATCATATGGTATTATACCTTCTACATTAAAAAATAAATGTTTCCAATTTAGAAAAAGAACTCTTTTTAAATTCTTGAAATTGAAAGTTGATTTCACTTTCTCAGTGGGGCACCTGATAACGTTTCCCTGAAGCCCATCTATGTTGGTATATTGGTATGACCATTTCTTTCA